CTGTATGTCATCAACTGGAGTTTAAACCATACAATTTTTCAAAATACTTGCCTCTACTATCCTTAACCAAACAGGATTTTAAATGAATGAACAATAAACTATGTTGTTTCTTTTGCAAAATGAAACACTGAATCATTACGAGACCAGCTAATGCATCATTGAGGAATAAATATCCAATCCTCCGAGGGAGGGTAGGGAAGAGGGTCTGGTTGAGACGCTCTTCTCACGGTCAGTGTAGACTCAATGGGCTGAACGGCCTGTTTCCTTTACTGTAGCGGTTCAATGATTCCATGAAATGACTTTGAAACCTGGCCAGTCTGTACTCTGGAGAGCAAAACTATTCAATTGGAGCATCTAAACATTTAAGAAAGAAAAGCCCAAGTACTCACTTAAGTCAAACAGGTGTAATAGTGCATTGGAATGGACTTGCTATTATCTCAACAATTTTAGAAGACGTAAAACCCACAGCAATCCAGTGGGAGCTCTGAAAGTAGCATGATTTCAACATGATAGAATGGCTTCAGGTTTCCACCTGAAAAAGCAGTGCTATCAAGTGCTATCATGATAATGGAATAGTTTAGGTTAGATGGGCTTCAGATTGGTTTCACAGGTCGGCGCAACATCGAGGGCCGAAGGGCCTGTACTGCGCTGTAACGTTCTATGTTCTATGTTCTATAAATTATATCTGCTGATGATGTTCTAGTAAAACAAAGATGGAAGAAAGTACTGCAGGGTATGACACATTGATTAAAGCACTCAACTTATATTTTTATCTCAAAGGAAATTTAGTTATAGATGTAATCAGTAATGTCAGTATTTATGAAAACATTTAATGGATTAATAACATCTAGCAGCTGTTGCAGAATTTTGAAGAATAAATTAATGAGAGGCCATGTAGTGTCACACTTCTTTAAAAAATCATTCACTGGATGAGGGTGTCACTAGCTAGGCCAGAATTTATTGCCCATTTTCAATTGTTCAGCCACATTGCCATTGGTCTGGAGGCCAGACCTGATAAGGACTGCAGTTTCCTTTCCTAAAGGACATTAGCGAACCAGATGGGTTTTTCCTGACAATCAGCAATGCATTTGTGGTCATCATTAGACTCTTAATTCCAGATTATTATTGAATTCAAATTTCATCTGTCGTTGTGAGATTTGAACTTGGGTTTCTTGATTAACAGTCCAGCAATAATACCATTAGATCATCACCACCTCCTTTTCAATCCAAGGAGGATTTAACTTTGGAACAGACAATCAAATTCACTATGCAGGCAGAAATCACGAACTGTTCGGTCAATATAGCAAGGAACAGTTTACCCATGGTTAGATGGATAGGGACCAAGATAAGATCACAAGAAATAGGAACAGGAGTAGGCTGTTTGAACACTCAAGCCTGCTCATGGCTGATCCAACTCTCCTAATTTCCTGTGCTTTTTATGTAACTCTTGATTCCCTATTGATCAAGAATGTATCTATCTCATCCTTAAAGATGGTGTCACCACCATCCCAAAAGCCTGCCAAATTACCAATCAACATCATCAATCACATTAGATTGAACAAGATGTGACCCTAAGTTCAATCATAAGCATAATGCAGTTCCAACAGAATGGGATGCATGCTTTAGGTGTGGCCTGTTGGGACACATTAGAAAATCTTGCAAGTTCACTGCATCTTCATTACTTCAAAAACAAAGGAAATGTCTTGCCAAATGAAAAGAATAATTTCCAATTAAATGGAAATCATGCAACAAGAGAAATTAAAGATACAAAAAAAAAATGAAGACAACATTCCTAGGCTAGATCAAGTCAATACAGTTGCTGGACCATCAACTTGAGGTACTCAAGTTTGAAACAGAATTTAAATTCAACAACAGGAGCAGCTGTTTCAGTATAGGCAGATGTCTTGTCACGTTTGAAGCTTGTGAAATTCAGTCAAGCTAACAAAGAACTCCAAGATTTACAAGGCACATGTCTTAAAATGTGTGGGCAAATCACTACAAAGCTTAATCATGGAGATGAAATGTCCATGAAACATTATACATTCTGAGGAGTGAGGAAACCTCGGAAGCATGTATTCATCTAGGTCTTTTGGAGAGAGTGGATGCAGAACTTTAGAAAGAGAGAATTTTGGCAAGCATTTCCAAAGTTTTTCAAAAGTTTAGACAAATTGAAGCAGGAGTATCACATTATTCTGCAAGAAGAGGCTAAAATCATCTGCTTGTGCACACCTAAGAAAATTCCTCATCCTTTGATGGAAAATGTAAAATCTCAATGAGTAAATTTAACTGAAATTGGGCTCATATCACCAATGCCAGAACTGACACAATGGTGCTGGGAGCTAGTAACTGTTCCCAAGACAAATGGAGAACTAAGATAGTGTGTAGAAGATAGGTAGCAACCAGTTGCCATATGGATGACATCCTGGGGCATGGTAAAATGAAGGAGTCTGTCCAGATGGTCAGAGTCATGTTAAAGACACACAGAGTGCAGCCTTTACTCTGCATGAGAAATGCCAATTCCTTAGAAAGACGATAACATTTGTACTACACCTTCTTGAAGAACAATACATCACTGTGAATCCAAGGGCGACAAAAGTCATTGGTGAGACCCAAGCATTGAACTGTGTAGAAAATGTACATTGCTTCCTAGGCATTGTGAATCAAATTGGAAATCTTAACTCTACATAATCAGTCTTACTCAACGCATAGGAGAGCTTATCAAAAAGGGCAACAATTTGAGGCAAGAGTAGACTACAGCTTTTGAAAAAAAAAACAAAAGTTACTTTCAATTGATGTTGCAGCACATTACAATCCAAATTATTCATTGTAGTAGTGGATGCATCTTCTGAGATCTATAGTAGTCCTTATCCAAGTACAAAGGGATGAAACAAGAAAGCTGGTATATTTTGTCAAGAGCATTGATAGAGATTGAACAGGAAAGTTTACAACCATAGAGAAGGAAGACTTAACAATTAGATAGAGAAGGAAGTACATTACTCACAGGACTGAAATTTCTGGTTGAAATGAACCAGAAACCTTTGGTAACATTATTAGGATCAAAAGATATCTTAAAAAATGTCTAAACACAGTCAAAGACTCAGGCATGGGCTGATGGGACGCCACAGTCGAAGTTCCAAGTAAAGTGCAATTAACTGTGAAGGGCAGCAGTGGATTGAGCAGAAAAGGAGGATTTTATTCTTATAGTAGCAGTAGAGTCTTATTCTGCAGGAAAGCTGACATTTCACCAGCAAGTGAGGAAAAGCTCAGAAATTTGAGGAGTTCAAAAATCTTGCAAGGAGTGCACAGTTGTGATGACTCAGTTAGATCTACAATGCTGGAAAATGTATCAGTAAAGAACCATAGAATGGTTATATCAAAGCTGATGCGAAGGAAAATTCTACAGAAGCTCCATGTGGCAGGGTATCATGAAGTGCAAAGCAAGAATACGACAACCAGGATGGTGGCCAGGCAGTTTGGAAAACATAGAGGTTTACATTTAGCATTGCCAAATTTGTGGTGGAAAGAGCAATGAAGAATGTGATGCACTGGAATGTAGACTGGATTAGTTTTATTCAATTACAAAGTAATGCCGCTGAGTTATGTACACTCACAAGCTGACTTCTGAGAGAGGAAGAGGTTAAAAACAGTTGTATCAGTTTTAGAACCCAACCTCAACCCAAACATAAGACCACGAGTAAGTAAAACAACTGAAGAAAAGCCACAATGAAAAGCAGTGGAGGTGCTATATCTGTAGATAGAGAACAAAAACTTGGTCACCTTTAAAGCCAGGGCAGAAGGTATGGTTAAAAATAGGGACTGAGAAGTTACAGTCATCAGAAAAACAGAAAAAAACCAAACTCTTATATTATTAAAAGAGACATTTAGATGGAGCAGGTAGGCCTTGATCTTGTTCAAGCCAAGAAGTGAGACCAAGTAATATCAATCTCTATGGGGGTCATTATATATTCTTGAAAGGGAATGTCATGGCTTACTTAGGCTTCCAATGTTGAGTCTGGAGCAGAAGGAAATTTGGCCAACTCTTCCTCAATTGATCATGTCATCTCCTGGTAAGCATGAGTAGGTGACATTAAAGGCAGGTCAATTCCTAGATTGGACGTCCCTTATTTGGGGTGCCCTTTTGAGCTACTTCAGCTGCCTTCATCTAATCTAATTTCTCCTACATAAACCTCCTGAATAATTTCTCACAACCTGAACTGATCCTTTAAATCAGAAGCAAGGAATTCTGGAGTGAGCAATTCACCCTCTGATTCCCTAATACTGTCCCCCACCTAGGAGTATAATTGAATGCTGTCCTCTTGTCTGGATGAATGCTGCACAAACAACATCAAGGAGAATGTCATCATCTGGGAAAAGTAGCACTCTTGATTGGCATCTCAACAATCATCTTCAATGTTCATTCCCTCAACCACACTACAGTGTGTACCATCTTCAAAATGCACTGCAGCAACTCGGCCTGGATCCTTCATTAGCACTTTTCAAGCCAATGACATCCACCACCTGAGAGTTCAAAGGCACCAGATGCTTGGGAAAACCAGTACCTGGAGATTTCACTCCAAACTTCATGCCAACTTAACTTGGAAAAATATGACCTTGTTTTTCACTTCACTAAATGATAATGCTGAAAGTCTGTACCTACTATTATTCAAGAAGGCAGCCGACAGCTACCTTCTCCAGGGAAATTACGGGTGGGATGTAAATGTCCCCATTGTCAGTGATGTCCACATCTCAGAAAAGAATAAATACAATGTAAAGTCATATTGACTGAGTAGGGAGGGGAAATTAGCTCCCTTTTCTTAACTCCTGTCTTGGTCTGTCACCATAATTCTATTCAGCAAGCAGCTGCCGCACTTGAATGAAAATATAGTTCTTTAGAAAATGAAAGAGCAAATGAACAATGTTTTCTTGAGTGAAAAAAAGATTCATTTTATTTGCTAATCACAAGAAAAAGACAACAACAATGAAACTTTAATCACATGCAAACTCACAAATTTAAAAGGGAAAGGGTCTAGTACCGGTAGGAAGAACTAACGCTGTGTATTTTAAATATCCTGAAAGGCTTTGACATGTTAGATTTGAAACTTGAGGCCACAGTTGATTAATTACAGAATTATTTGCAGAATGAATGGATGCCTTGAGTTCTTGGTGAATGTACTTTTCCAAAGCTGCCTTTTCACTGGGTACTGTTTTCTGAAGTAATGAGAGAAACATGCAAGGAATGTGAGTTCCATCTCTTGTTGTCACAGATTCATTTGTTCTTCTTTCTTCTGTGCTGATCAAAACAGGTTGTTGAAATATATTTCAATGTATGCTCCTGAGTTTAGCTGCATTGTCTTTCCAAGCTGGCTAACTGGCAGACAGGTCTTCAATCTACAAATATGGGAAATTGTGAGGAGATTAGCAAATTAAACAGGAGATGTGAACTGCTTGACCTTGATACAGTGGCCTGGTTTCAATGTCTTTAGATAAAATGTGATTTCAGTACAGCTTTGTTTATTCCATATGGATCTTATGAAGCTTGCCTTAATCTATAGCCAGGTGGCCAGTACAACAACTTTAGATCCAGTTTTCTTCCTGTTAAGGAACGTCCTGTTAAGGAATCAATTTAGTCCATCAAAGCTCACAAGTATAACAATCGGAAGAAGGAAGTTCATATTAGATAAACCATGTTTATCAATCTTATAATAACATGTAGTATAGATTTACCCAGAGTGCTTGGCAGGACCACAATACAGCAGTGAGGAAACGATTGAAGTGAGACTTGTCAATTGATGGTTGCAGCTGTGTATAAAATTATCCAATTCAATGATTTCAGATTTCCTCATATAAAAAGACATGATGGAAATATTTGGCAGTCTGCAGCATCTGTGGGGAGAGAGAAACAGAGATAATGTTTAGTTTGATGACCTATCGTCAAAATGGAAAAGTCATTGACCTGAAGCATGAACTCTGTTTCTCTGTCTCTTGATGTTGCCTGACCTTTTGAGTAGAACCAGCATTTTCTCTTTATTTTGGATTTCCAACGCCTGCAATATATTATTTTTGTATCATATTTCATAACTCATGGAAGTCAATCCAGTCACTGTGGTATTCAGGAAATGTGAATTAGGTCGATCAAGATGATTCTATCTACATTTTGCCACCTACAACTGAAGAGGCTAATTCCACTGTTACCATAAATGCTGTATCTGCAGTAGATGAGCCAGTATTGGAGGAGGAACCGTTGAACCTGTTCGGCCCAAATCAGTACATTGCTTTCCTGAAGGATGTGGGCAGGCTCTGTCTATCAGTTTATGTAAGATACATGGATATGAGACATAAATGGATCACAAAACGTCAGGGATAAGGATGTTTCTTCAAAAAAACTTTCCGCTAAATTGTTTAACTGAAGTAAAAGTTGAAGGGAGATTGTCTTCTTTGAACTGAATGGTCCAAAAGCATTTGTTGTGCTTTGTGCACACTCATGTTATATGCTTACAAATCTACAGTTCACATTCTCATTTCAGACCATGTAACATCATCCCCTGACTATCAGGATCCACAATGAGCGACTGGACAATATGGATCAATGCCCCATATATCGGGACGCTCGGCTCAATGAGCGCAGTTATCAATGATGAAATTCAGTATTGCTTCTGGTGTGTCAATGCAGCCTTTGGCCATCTGAGGAACAGAGCTTTTGAAGATAAAGACGTGAAACTTGGCACCAAACTCATAGACTACAGGCAGCAATATTATCTGCCTTTCTTAATGCTTTGCAGAAATCTCGAATCACAAAGGAAAAATCATAAGTGATGCCTCTCCAAACTCCTGCAAGTCTAGTAGCAGGGTAGGAGCTCCAATATCAGTGTCCTCATTCAAATACTGAGTTTGATCAGTCAGCTGTGTTGGATGGGCCATACCGTCTGCATATCTGACACAGCATCCTGTAATTCTCTCTGTACTCTGTACTTCATCATGGCAAGTGGTTACCAGGTGGACAGAGGAAACAGTTCAGTGACATCCTTAAAGCCTCCCTGAAACTCATGAGAATCTTTTGCCCAAACTGGAGAAGAGGCAACCATAAAGATGCCAACTGTTTTGAGACAAGTGCTGGTGCAGGCCAAGTGTAAATGGTGAAAGGTACATGCAAAAACACAAGCACTCCACTAGCCTCATCAAACGCAACCAGCCCAACCTGTGGCATGGTGTAAGGATCCAGTTTAGTTATTTCAGGATCCACAACTCCAGAGTGGAAGAAAGTCATCCATGTAATCAAGGGACTGCCTTTGAGGAGGGAGGGCGAGATTCCACCTGAATCATTATGTTGTCCATTGGCTGTATTCAAACCTCAATTCAATTTCAAACCTCCACAGAAAAAGGCCATACTAATGTTTTACAGAACTATCCTTGATTTTTTGCAACAAGTCAAATTCTAGTAAATCAAACAATGCACCATCTGGATTTAAATGCAGGGCAATGTCCAGTCAACTCCAAGGTTTTGGAGTTAACATGATGATGATGATATGTTGTCATATGGTTGTAGCAAACGTACGCTGTGAGTAAAAGGCAGTAAAGAGTTTGTCATTCAAACAAGGCCCAGGTTAGTAAACTGAAACTGGGATGGAAGCAAAACATGTCTTTTCCAGAACTTGCATGTCAAGACAGTTTTTAAACTTTCGGGTGATCTCCCCAAAACAAGCAATCTAATGTATTCAAAAACATCATTCCACACAATGCTTCTTTTACCATATGGATTAAAATAGAGGTGTCAGTAAGTTCACACAGCTGCATCAAGTGTACAATATTCTTTTAAGTGGTAGGTGGTGGTTAAGATCTCATTACAGCTGTGGTTTACTGTGTATTGAGCCACAACTCAAATATCTGAAAAATGCACCAGAAACAGCATAATGGAACACTAGGTGAAATTACTATGTATTGAATATTCAATGTATAATGATAATTTGGACCAACATATTTCTCTCATACAGTGTTGAATATATTGAGTGATCAAATTAGAAATTTGCACAATGATGCCATCTTAATTGCAAATCCATTTCAAAACAGTAGCTGGAAAATAGAAGCTGAAACTACTTTTAACATGAAACTTCCTTACTGGAGCAATATGCAAAGCTATCAACTCAAGTAGCCCAGTAGGATTTCATTTTGTCTAACTATTTTCAAATTGACATGTCCAGAGGTATGTGGGACTTGAACACAGAGCTTCTGGCTCAGAGATAGGAACACTATCACTAAGTCGCATGATGGCATCCACGACAGTAAAGAATTTCGTCAGTTTTCTGCTGGAGTGATAACTCACAGTTTGGAGTGGGACTTAACCTCATTGCCCTGCAATTCAGAGACAATTGTGTGACTGAGAAGCTATAGCTTCACTAGCTGAGTTCAGCTGGCAACAATTAGACGATATAATGGAAGTGAGAAGTTGGGGGTGGGGGATGGATGGTAACACCAGCTAAAAATGTGCCCATATGTAAATGTTTGGTAAGGGCAAGACTGGTCAAGTAGTCTTGATGATCACTGGTTCACAAAGGAAAACAATTCTGATTTTATTATACACTACAATAAAATCTCTTCAAACTGAGGGTGGTATGTGTGATGGACAGGTCTGTTCTTCGGATTTTGCCATAAAAATGATGAGGCTGGATTTACCCATCCTTCTTTTAACCATAAGCAATTTCAGACAATGTGAAGTTAAATATTATTATTTCAAACTTGCTGCTCAAATTGTGCTGCCCTGCCAGTAGATTTGCAAAAGCAGCATCTCACTACTTCACCATTAACAGATATTGAATAGTGGTGAACCTTCTAGATTTACATGGTGGATACAAACTAAACTCATGACAGAAATTTAAGATTTGTTATTACCTTTCTTCCCAAAATGATAACTGTTAATATCTGTCAACTGACTTCTGTGACATTCAAAGTTAACTGTTAAAATTGTGAGGTCTCATTCCTTCAGCTTTTATTCGCTTTTGGATGTTTTCAAAATGTCAAATTTAAAGATGTATGTAGTTTTATTATGACCAACTGAGAAAAGTTGGAATGTCTTCCCTCTTTTCCTATTGCCCATTGACAATAGCAGAGATTTTTGGAAGGGTATATTTAACTGGTTACAAGCTGTGACTGTAAAATATACACACAGACAGAAAGAAGAATAGTAATTAAGACCCAATTTTAATAAAAAAGTAATGGAAATGCTGACTCTCACACACACATGGAATAAACGCACAAATAAGTTTCTAAGTGTGGTCTTGACAATCCAAACAAATCAACAGTAAATGGGTCTTGTAAATTAGTCATTTTGATGGTTTGAGAATGAATTTTATGGTCTTTCTGAATTCTGCATTTGAAGAGGTTGAGAAATGATTTGTTACCTTTCCTCTGGAAACAACAGCTGCAGGGTTGATTCTTTAAACACTGGCTGTGGTGTGAGGCTGGTTATTCAGTAGGCAGGGTTCAAGCTTATAAAATGAGTGGAGAGTCTTGCTTCTTTGACATCTCTGCTTGTGCCCCAGAGAAAAGCAGTTTCTTAAAAGAGAGTTAGTTGGCTTATCACATGATCTCCTTTCTCCATCTGACCCAAACACGGTCATCACAATTTTACTCCAGGACGATAGTTTAGACACGATTAGATCATGGCCAGAAGAGTTCCCTTCTGCCAACCAGACTCTAATGTCCATTGTAATTGTGCCTGATGTCTTGTTCCACACTTACTTGGATGTCTAATGAATGAGTTACATTCCTCTTGTAATTGTCTCTGATGGGATCTGCTAGTCAGCCTGCCTCATTATGATAGTTTTGTAATTTGCAGGATATGGTTATATTAAAGATTAACCGTCATAGAAACTGAGTTGCTGTTGCCCAGTCTTTTAAAACTCAACCAATGGTTTCAGCCCAATAAATGATAAACTCACATTCCACAACAATTCTACTTCACTTTCCTGACGTTTCTTCTATCTGTCTCAGCAATTTTTTCAACCGATGACAAAAACATAATTAAAAGTTACATTTAGTTTCTCTAAAGGTAGTGAATCTGATATATAAAAAAAGGTTTGTATTTTTATGGATTGGAGGAACTGCAGATGTTGGAGGATCTGACATAACAAGGTGTAGAGCTGGATGA